CCAGAGTGCTCCTTGGAGTCCAGGATGGCCAGACTTTGTCTCTCATACTTCGGATATATTATCAGAAGGGACCAGTCCCTGCAGAGAAGAACATAATGCAAGGTAAAGTGGAGCATCAGCAAGAAAGAGAAAAATCCCCAAAGAGATGGATTGGCTCAGTGGCAGCAGCAATGGATTCAAATGTAGTAACGATTGTGAGGTTGGCACAGGACCAGGCACAGGGTGGCTCTGGGTCAATAGCGACTAGATTGCACCAAACAACAACAACAGCTCTATTCCAATATTTCACCCCCACTGCAGGGGATCCCCCTACCATCTAGAAGAAGACACAGGAGTGGTGCATGCCTTTTGAAGCCCGAGATCCTTACACATTGAACTGGGGAGTGCATCGTACCAACACCCCAGCATCGCTTATGGGGGACCCACAGGCCTGCCAACTTATCTTTGGTACTTTGCATGTTTCTGTGGTACTGGAAACCATGCATGGGTTGTTCAGATACCAATAGGGTGATCCCTGGTGGACAGGGTTCAGCTGAGCTTCCAGACTAGAGACAGACTAGCCAGTCCACTTCTGAGGGATTTGCAACTGAAAACCTTATGCATACCAGTGAAGGATGAGTCCCTCAAAATATACATGAGGGAGAGTTGTCTCCTCAGTGTAGAGTTGACCTTAATGGCATGGACAAAACCAAACTTTGGGGACTTTCATTTGCTGTTGGGGCACAACTCAGAATGAGACAAAACAGTTGCAAATATCCATTAATAATCAGAACATGTAATGCATGGATCTAAGAAAACTGGAAACCATCAGAAATGAAACGAAATACTTAAAAGTCAATATCCCAGGCATTATTGAGCTGAAACATGATTAGAGGAAACTTGTAAGCCCATCTTCATCCTATAACTGACTGGAATACCTAAAAGGGGTTCTGGAACGTTCCCAGTGAAATAGGCCTCTTGCAAAGCCTTTACAGAGTATAGAATCTTAGGTGGAATTCTGAGTTCCATCCAGAACTTTATGAGGTGGGACATTCCCACTAGAAATGTATGAGTATTAGGCGTTTTGAATCTGATAACCGCATGATTTACTAGGCTGGCAATGCAAACTGAAGAGGGATGACATCACATCCATCACCATATAGAACACTTCAAGATCTAGCTTGGAGTATGACACTGTCAGTGATGGGTAAGAATCATAGGCCTTCAAGAAAGACCCTCTAATGCCACTATTGTTCATATATAGGCACCAACCATCAAAGTCAGTGATGAAGACATTTTTAATATTCTACCAACTTCTTTAGTTTGAAATTGATCGAACATGTAGTCAAGATACATTGATGATTGCTGGTGATTGGAATGCGAAAGACGAAGGATCTGTAGTTGCAAAACATGGTGTTGGTGATAGAAACAATGCTTGCTTTCACGTGATAGAAGTTTGCAAGACCAATGACTTCTTCGTTGCAAATACCTTTTATAACTAACATAACAGATGGCTATACACATG